CCCTGCTGGTTATTGTGTATCTGGGAGGGAAAATAATCTCTTTTTTATTTAGCTGCTTCTGATTCTCCCTTCAGTCTGATAGTCAGGTACCTCAGGTTCCTTTTGGATGAGCCACGAAAGATAAGAATGAAAATGTAATGCTCTGCAGGTACCAAGAGGCAGTAAGTGGAATTGGTCCTTCTTACTTGGGGTGTGACTGCCAACTTTATGTGAGAAATGTGCACAAGTTTGATGCTTTTAAGCCACCTTTTTTTCCTGGCAAGATCTGAATAAACTTGATTCGTTTTAAGCGCCAGGTTCATGTGCTATAAATTGGTCAATATTAGTTTTGAGCTTAATTAGTACTTTGCAGAGCTCTTGCTTTCAAAATTTCAGGGAGCAAAATGCATGGCAATTCTCCCTTGGTTGGCTCTTTTTTTTCGAATATCTCCCGAAGGAAAAGTGACAGGCCATTGTAACTGGTGAGAGTTTTGCAAACGGATCAGAAGATAAAGCATGTGATTTTAAGCCGAGGTCTGCTGCCGTTGAGGGAATTTTGCTACATCGGCAGCAAAGTTGGATGAAGTTTGACCGCAGCAAAGTGGTCGGTTCACAGTCTTTATTCTCAGGAAGCTTTGCTGTCTTTATTTTCTCCTGCACACCCACAGTCATTCTGCTTGTCCCTGTCCTATTTTGCTTCTTGTTACTTTTGTCGTTGATTGTATTTCACCAGGAAAAAGAGTGGGGGGGGAAAAATTGAATTATAGCTAGCCAGAGGAGTTCAGGAGGATAAGAGGCTATTACAGCAATATGGGGGGGATGAAGTAGTGGAGCATAGCCATTAATTAATGAGGTGAATGAAATTATGATGATTCTAAAATGGCTGCTTTACTTAACTGCTTACAAATTGATCTTTAAACAGGGTAAGTTTATTAAAATATTTTTGAAAGGGAAAATAACTGAAGCCCTGCTAGACTAACAGTTCTAAATAATGTTACTGTAGTTATTCATTAAAAAGCAGTAGATAGTTGGCAATGTTGAACATGTTCAATAATACCAAGTTTTGCAATATTTGTTTTGGGGTTTTTTAATGGAAAATTCCCAGTTCCTGCAGTGGTTTTCAATGCACAAAACTCACTCAAGAGTTGCTGCTTTTAGTTTACTTTCTGCGAGGCTTTAGAAGCAGCCCACAGATCAACAGGACTGTAGAACACAAGCTGGAAGTCAGTGAGTGTCATACGGCAGAAGATGGTCGTGTCCAGCAACCCTTGCATCCCGGTGGGATTGAAATTACTGCGTGTGCACAGTGGATCCCCGCTGCATCGCAGTGGGACAAGTTGGAGACCGAATCACTTCCCCAAATACAGCGGCGTATGACAAATTCAACCATTTCTCTTGTGTCTGTTCACTGAAGGATTATGTGTAATTCACTGAAGGAGATTAATTTGGCCTGAGAACCCAGATCTGGAAACCCAGACCTGACCTTTTAGACAAATTAGGGATCACCCCCAAATTTTATAGGGAATGTCTGGTCGTGACAACAAACTGCTGAAGGAAATGTTAGGTTCTGTGTTGCTTGACATTTTTGAAGTCATGCTGTTATCAGATGCGAGGGGTTTGGTTCATGGGGCTGGAAAGATGAAAGTTTTGCGTTTCTGGGCCTGTGACAAACTGGAGATTAAACTAGATAATCTAAAGTATGTTTTGGTATTGAATGCTGAGGTGTCAAGAAAATAGAAATTTTGAGTAGAGGTAATTCTGGATGGAGGTTCTGGTTCATGAAATTCCCCAGTTCAACAAAGTACTTGAGCGCATGAAACTTGGTGTTGACAGATAAATGACCCAGGAGATGGTGACATTAGAATTACAGGTAAGAAATGACAAAAATGGGTTTATCTCCAAGGAAGGGCAAGCTGGCATACCTGGTGAAAACCATCTCAAGGCCAGATGTATAAGAAGAGCTTTTTCTGTTTGAAAACCATGCTACTTGTAGCTGACGTGGGGGGGGGGCTTTCAGGCTGTACAGGAGTTCGATGTGAGTCAGTGTGATGCTTCTCACTTGGAGAAAAGGATTGAGCAGCCCTGCCTCCCCCAACGCAGGGGCCAAACCCAGGACACAATGTCCGTTTCCAAATGCTCCTTGTCAAGCTCTGAACGTCTCAGTCTGAGATGCGACTTCCAAATTTTAGTTGTTACAATTCCAGTCAGTTGCTAGTCTACTGCTGCGTTGGCTGCTGTGCCCTCCTTTTAGTACAACAATTGGGGTGCTTGTCTTTTGAAATTTAAAATGGCTTGTACGTTTTTAGTAATGAATTGTCCAAAGGACAGCACATTCCTGTTGGACTGAAGCACTTAGGGCTGTAATCCGTTTGTCTTCTCACATAGTCATTTTCTTGGATGGGAGTCATCCCCTTGCATTGTCCTCCTGCTTCCTTCTCCCACGTACACGCTGTTGAAACAATGAAAGGGGCACAGTATTTGCTTGAATGAGGCCTAAGACAGGAGCTTCTTCTCATTTCTGTGTTTTCCAGGCTGCAAATGCCATTTGTGTGGGTTCATGCAGCCTGGCTTCCTAGCACCATGTCTGTACAGCTACACTAGCTACAGCTCATACTAAGTGAGGTGGTTCTCGGTGCTGTTCTTCAGCTCCACGTGGCCACTTCCATGCTTCTGAGCGGCTGCATCCAGAGGGTGTGTGGTTTCAGGTCCATGCAGAGTCTTGCAAATAGTCTGCAAATTTTGTCAGGTTGACCAAAATTGTGTCAAAGACAGTTACAGCGTCTACATCTGCGTGTAGATACTACGGTGCCTCTTCCGCAGCACTATTTAATTTACTAGCACTGACACGGCTGTACCCTCTGACCCAAGGGTAGACCTGTTCCCATTGCCTAGTCAGGTCTGTGTTCTGAGATGTTACTCCCCTAAAGAGATTCCCTTGCTACACCCCTAAAACCGATGGACCTGGTTTACCTTACTGCGATTCACGTATCTGAAAGAAGACTCAATGCAGCAAATGGACAAGTTTTGTCACTCATTGGCCCCTGTTGGAGACTCCCTCTGTGTCAGTGCAGAAGTGGAAACCAGGAGGGATCTTCATGATTTGTGGAGAGAAATAGGCAGCCCTGTCCCTGGAAGGGTTAGCCGAACTCTGGCAGCCATCAACCCTCTTTCAGTTTTCATGATTTGGAATTCTTACTTGGCTTTCCTGAGGCTGCTGTTTGTCTGCTCTTGCTTTTAGAGATTGTAAGGCACCTCTGTCATGTCTCCTGGAGTTTGAGTGATCTCTTCACCCTGCTATCCTGCAAGAATCGTAATAAACCCTTGACTTTTATGAAGATTCACAAGAAGGATGGAAAATGCCTTGATCTCTTTGCCAAGTTCTGTCTTCCCTCCATCTGCCATCCCTCCTTCTCAAGATCTTGAGTTCTGAAGGTGGTGAACTTGTCATTTGTGTGCCATTTGCATCTTTAGTGAGGAGACTTAGGAAGGAAGAGACATTAAGGGAGCATGTCGTGCTGTTTCTTTTCCCCAGACTGATTTCTGGGCTTTTCAGCAAATATGTAGGATGTTCATTCTTCTGGTACCTTGGGAAGTTTAGGAGTTAAAAATGCTTTTGATGAGCCACCGTGATGATTGAGTTACATGAGAAGCCTGCCTTTGGAGGGGAAAAGGCTGTAGGCTTCTTTCTCTAAATGAAAGCCCAGTAGTAATTTGATGTGCTGCACTTCCCTTGTTGGGGCAGGCGATGTGTGACAACATTCCAGGTTCAAAAGTTACTAACTTCAGAAATCGAGCTTCAGAAACGGGACTTCAGTCACATCAACTTTGGTCCTAGAAGCCACTAGAAATTTTGTTAGGTGTGGGTTTCTCTTCTTTTTCTCAAGGTAGCAAGACAAAGTTAGGGCAACTTCAACTCTTCATACTTCACATTTGAGGGTGTTGTGATTAGTAAATCTCACGTCATAACTGGTTAAAACTTCTTCAGGAAAACTCAACCTCTGGCCTTGACGTCACGGTTTTGGAGTCTGGGATTTCTGGCTGGTAGATACTTAGCAATCGGCAAAATGTTGTCTGAAATAAAGTTGCAGCCTTAATTACTGAGCAACCACTGTCTCTCTGTAGCAGTGGTTTATCAAAAGTAAAAGGGCATCAAGTCATAGAGTGGTTTGAGCTGGAACGGGCCTTAAAGCCCATCCAGTGTCATTTCCCCCCTCCCCAGCCATGGGCAGGGCTACCTTCCACTAGACCAAGTTGCTCCAAGCCTCATCCAGCCTGGCCTTGGACACTTCCAGGGATGGGGCATCCACAGCTTCTCTGGGCAACCTGTCCCAGTGCCTCCCCACCCTCTCCAGGAAGAATTCCTTCCTGATGTCCAATCTCAGTCTCCCTCTTTCTATTTAACCCCGTCACTCCCTGCCCTTGGGAAAAGTCCCCCCCCAGCGTCCTGGTTCCCCCCCAGGCACTGGAGGGGGCTCTAAGGTCTCCCCGGAGCCTTCCCTTCTCCAGGCTGAACCCCCCAACTCCCCCAGCCTGTCCCCATGGCAGAGGGGCTCCCGCCCCCGGAGCATCTCCCGGGCCTCCTCTGGACTCGCTCCAACAGCTCCGGGTCCTTCTGCTGTTGGGGGCCCAGAGCTGGAGCAGAACTGCAGGAGGGTCTCCCCAGAGCAGAGCAGAGGGGGAGAATCCCCTCCCTCGCCCCCCTGGCCATGCTGCTCTGGATCCAGCCCAATGTAGTAACTGCAGATTTATTGTGGAAAGTGTAGGGGGTGCTAATAGAAGAGGGAAATGCTGTCTGAGCATTTCAGAGAAAGCAAGCCTTCTGCCACATGGTGACAGTAGCATTGATGGGTGGTTGCCTTCTGAGCTTGTTTGGAGGTGGACTATTGCGCTGACAACTCTGTCCTGCGTGCATCTCGGTGTTGGACCAGAATTGATCTTTCCTGTGTGTAAGGTACTTTCCTTGTACCACAGAGAACCATTGAACTGAAATATTTGCTTTTGTGTTTTTACCTTGTTTTTAGCCTGCTGGAAACCATGTCTCACTACACAGACGAACCAAGATTTACCATAGAGCAGATAGACCTGCTTCAGCGCCTGCGACGTACGGGAATGACCAGACATGAAATCCTCCACGCGCTGGAAACCTTGGATCGTCTTGATCAAGAGCATAGTGACAAATTTGGGAGAAGGTCTAGCTACGGCGGTGGTTCCTACAGCAACAGTACCAACAATGTCCCAGCATCTTCCTCTACAGCCACAGCTTCAACACAGACCCAACATTCTGGGATGTCCCCATCACCGAGCAACAGTTACGACACCTCCCCACAGCCTTGCACTACTAATCAGAACGGGAGGGAGAGTAACGAGAGGTTGTTTGCGTTCAACGGGAAGATGTCACCTACCCGCTACCCCCTTGCAAACAGCTTGGCTCAAAGGTCATACAGTTTTGAAGCTTCTGAAGAGGACTTGGACGTTGATGACAAAGTGGAGGAACTAATGAGGTTAGTAAAAGTCTTTGTACAAAGGTTGGAAAGTCAGAGTGAAAAGTCCCTCAGAAGAAATCTGCATGTTGGAGTTCTGCTGTAGCGGTGTTGCTCCAATCCTCATCCAGCCTGGCCTTGGACACTTCCAGGGATGGGGCATCCACAGCTTCTCTGGGCAACCTGCCCGAGTGCCTCACCACTGCCTATTCCTTTGAGTTTTGGGTTCTGTGCAGTAAGTCCCAGATAATGTTTTTAGTGCTTATTTAAACAGAAACCACTTTTATTTGCAGGTGTATGGAGGGTGAGCGTTGAGTTCAGAAATAAAAATGAAGCCGCAACACAGCGTTCATTTTGCACTTACACTTGAAAGCTTGAACCTCCCTTGAATGCTGCTTGGCGAGTAGAGGAGAAAGGGAAAGGAAATTGCTAAATAATAAAACCTAATAAAGTCTGGTTTTAATTGTCTACCCTTCCCAGGAAGGGAGGGAGGAAGAGGAGGGAAAAGTATGTGTTTGCTGCAGTTGAAATTTGCTGCACATCACAGTCCCTGTGCAACCTCCAAATTACTTTGTTTTTAGCACAGTTTTGGTCCCTTATGAACTACATTTGCACCTTGTAAAAATCATAGAACCATAGAATCCCAGAATGGTTTGGGTTGGAAGGGACCTTAAAGATCATCTAGTTCCAACCCCCTGCCATGGGCAGGGACACCTTCCACTAGACCAGGTTGCTCAGAGCCTCATCCAGCCTGGCCTTGGACACTTCCAGGGATGGGGCATCCACAGCTTCTCTGGGCAACCTGTCCCAGTGCCTCCCCACTCTCTGCAGGAAGAATTTCTTCCTGATGTCCCATCTCAATCTCCCTCTTTCTGTTTAAACCTATTACCCCTTATCCTGTCACTGCAAATCATAGAAAGGCTTTAAATAACTGGCACTTTCTCATTCAGTGCGAGCTGTGGGATAAGGAAGTGGTAGGGGTGGGGGGACAGAGGTTGCAGAACCTTTTCTCCTTTAGGTCTTTTCCTTGCAAGGTTGGGGAAGGTTTGTGTAGGTATATCATTTGTGTAGCTAACCATGCAGGCCCTGCTATCCTTTATTTTTTATTTTTGTGCTTCATTTTTATGACTGAGGTTTTTATGTTGGTATGAGAGATTTATTCATCCCTGTGTAATGAAACTTTGTACATTCCATATGGCAGTGCTGCACCTAATATGAATTATATAGGACATGAGTCATCCATTCTGCTGCCCTGGTACTTTGATCAAACGTGACACTTGTTAAAAGAAGTGTCCACTGGTGAGGCACTTGGACTATTTTAATGCTTCCTTCCCCACTCCTTTATAAAGGAAATAAAGCCATTTTGCATCTTCAAAGTGCACTTTGGTCTGTCCCTCTTTTTGTGTGTTCTTTTTTTGTTTTGGTAGGAGGGACAGCAGTGTGATAAAGGAGGAAATCAAAGCCTTCCTAGCCAGTCGGAGAATTTCCCAAGCAGTTGTTGCACAGGTAACAGGTAAGAGCTCGGGGAGTCCTTTCTTCATTTTGGGAAACTGTGTCTAACTGCCTCTCTGTGCAGCGTGCAGATGTTGGAATATTGCTTGGCTTTCTGCATTGCAGTGCAGATCTGTCAGCTTAGTCATGATAATGTATGCCTTTGATTTAAGACCCATTGTCCCACACATCATGGAACTTCCCCAGTGAATCACTTTTTTCTTTTTTTTCTTTTCTTGTGGCTTGTGCTAGCAGATTTTATTTAACAATATTATAATAAGCCCCAAGTTCTTATCTTAAAATGAAAACGGTTTCCTTAATTCTTAAATTGTTTGTTGAGTGCAGCAAATAGATGTGTATCTGCATCTCCGTGAATGGAGAGAGAGAGATAATATGTATTTAGATTATAAAATGTATATGAATAGTCAGGAGACACAACTATAGCTGGTATTGCTACACCAGGAGCCAGATTGTGAGAGTTGGAAATTTTTCAGTCACTTGCCTTGGAGCCACAATAATGAAAAGTAGATGTGAGGTTGAGGGGATGACCATGTTAGCTCAGATTTTGTCTAGAAGTTCTTGTCCTCTGCCTTCTCTCTTTCATATTCAGGACAAGTGAACAGACTGCAGCGGTTATCACATCTTCCTTGGGTGTGTTTCCAGAGCTTTACACAATGAGTAATGAAGTCTTACTGCTCCTCCATGGGGTGGGCTGATACTAGTTCTTCTTTACAGTCTCAGGCTGCTGGTCCACGATATTTAGAATCATGGAATCATTTGGGTTGGAAAAGACCCTAC